GTAGTCAAACCCATACAGGCATTCTAGGAGACCACCACAGATTTGTTGCAGCATTTTGCCAACACCACAGCAGAGGTTATAGTTGCAAACATATCCACTAGCAGACTCTGAAAGAACTAGCCCTGTCATCCCATATTTGACAGGTTTTTACAAATTGTAAACACAAAATATTACATAACCTTGCCATTTGAGCATTCCTTCATCTAGGAATAGTTTTCTTGTGGGGTATATACAATTTTGAACTTATTTACAATGTAATCTTAAATCAGTCAAATCTTGACAATTTCTGGGACATGCACTATTGTCATTGAAGTGGAAATAACTTCAATATCAGTAGAAATATATCCCTAACCATAGTCTGGGGGTAAAAAATGGTTGCTATTTTTTTTATCATTACTCTAGCACATCTGAATCTTGGGCTTTTTTACAATTCCAGTATTGAAGAGAAGGGCCAAAAACAGCCAAAGTTTGTCAGAAGTCAAATCCTTCCATCATCTAGCATGGGAATATTTTTTCAAATCTTGGCATTCCTGGAAAAATTGTGCAGCATAAAGATTTATCTCTCTGACAACACTGTCTATTAGTTCATCAATAATAAACAGTTTCACCACTGAAGGCAGATCTCTGTATTATCTGGCTGTATGTTTACACTTGGAGTACAAGTGAATTGATGTACACGTGGAGGTCTGTGTACATTAGTCCAGTTGCCAATCTGATTTTCATTTCTCCTGCCCTGATTACCATGGGGATGACCTTGTTCATGGCTAGGTGCTTGTGCAGGACCAGTTGTAGCCCCATTATTGCCACCAGTATTAGGCCTACAATCATTTATGCCATCCATGTCCACATCACTCAATTCATTGCTATTATTCAAGTCACTTTCATTTTCACCATTAATACGATAATCCTCAGAATTTTCTACATATTCTGCATCTGAATTATTATTAAATTGATCAGATTCAGAGTCCTCATCAGTGAATATTTCCTGCAAAATATCTCCAGTGAATGATGCCGAAGCTCCTTTCAAGGGAGCCATCTTTAAAGTCCAAGAAGCAATCTGAAAATCCAAGTCGTATTTTCAGTTCTGCACTATCCAAACAAATTATGATATTATCATGAAAGATGAAATAAAATCGAGGCTGACTAATATATTTTCCAAAACACCCATTATAAGTTCATGTTCCTATTGACAGATGGCGCGGTATGTACAGTACTTTAGCATGGGTAAAAAAAACAAAGATTCTTGCAGTTAGCCACTACGACCAAGCATGTAAATACATATGTTCTTGTAGATAGCAGTGGAAGTGTTATGTATAGAAGTACACAGTAAATATAACACTTTTCTTCTGATGTTGAGATTATGGATTCAAACTTTTGACCAATACTGCTTCTTGCTTGTTGAACAAAATGTTGTAATCACTTGTGGGTACTGTTCATAGTTATATAGTTGAATATACTTCCACACACACACATTAATAAAAAAATAAATGTAGAATCCTGAAGGCATTTGTTAGGTGATTCTGGAACCAGGCATTAACATTTTCTTACACTGAAAATGTATTTCCAATAGGTACTTTACTCATCTCACACAAAGCTACCTTGATCTTCCTTCTGCCCCCTAAGCATTGCTAAAACATTTTAAAGCTCAGCACACCAGTCTATATATACCAAACAAATTTCTCTCCACTTTAAATATGTATATAGCATGTGATCACTCTCCACCACTAGTATTGGTCCACCTATATTGGCACAGCTAGCTCCCTCTAATACTCCCGCTCAATCCCCACTTTTGAGAATTGGCAGAATCTAAAGTGAAGAACACCAGCAGTGGAGAGGAAGGGTGGGAAGTGTGTGAGAGGAGGTAAGTAACTATCAGAAATACAATTTCAGTGTAAGATAATATTAACTTTTGATACGGTCTTACCTCTTCTGACAAAAAGCTTGAATCCCACATTGAAAAGGTGGAGGAGCTGGTGTAGGTGCTTAACAGTGAAGCTAAATGGAAAGTGACCACCTAGAAATAACTGGTGTGCTCAGAGATGAAGATGAAGCACACATGCAAGGCACCACACTATTTCTGGAACAGGTATGCTTTTCACTTTATGAGAAGAAAATGAACCTGACATGGGCAGAAAGAAAAGGATATGCACATACTTAATTTGTTCTGACAGGTGCAATCCATAGTAAAAAAGAGCACTAGTTCAAATTGTCCTCCACTGACAGACCAGAGCTGCTCTATGAAATGAAAACTCAAAGCAAACTCAATACCCACATGAGGAGAAATGTCAAGTCAAAAGACAATTTGCCGAAATATAATGATGGAGAAAAACATCTAGCCATGGTTAGGTATCTACTCAACCTTAACCAGACAGACAAGGTTCCAAACCTGTCCACGGCATTAAGAGGTAGAGGATCACTCAGATAAAAATGAAATTAAAGTGACATAAACATGGTGTCTAGGGCAGGTGGACCATGTGGTATATATACACCAATCCCAACTGTAAGTAAACAAAGTGTCCCACATCAAGCAACCTGAATTACAAATAGAAAATTAACATTTGGCTAAAACCAGACTAACTCCCAAAACCACTATAGGAGCAAGAAGTACAACAAACTGATGCCAGAATTACAGGGTCGTGTCATTGCCTTAATTCAATTGTGAGAATAGGTTAATACCTGTAACCAGTATTAAGAGCATAAATCATAACTCCCCAAACCATAAACACAGGGAAGACACATCCTGCATCCAGAATTACATGGAGGAAGTGGAACATTTACTCAACTGCAGAAGCAGGGAAGGAAAACTCCTGCAACTGGAATTAATGAGAAGGGGGACCTCTACTGCACTCAACCATGGGAACATGACAGTGTTATCCTGAACATGGTATTATGAGGAGGATTCCACATGCACTGGTCCTGCTCCAACTTACATTTGGTCCACCTTGGAATAAGCATCCAGGGGAAAGGGAAGGAGGGAACCCAGCTTTGCTCTCTTCTCACTGAGTGGATAAATGCATGTTTGTATTGTAATGTAAATTTCTACTTCACACTCAGGAGGAAGCCTCCTTGGTCCACCACCCCAGTGACAGAAAACTAGTAAGAGCTCCCGTGCTCCACTTAGAGAAAAAAAGGGACAAGGAAATGTGGTGGAGAAACCGGAGTAATGTCACACCATCCCAGATTTATCCATTCAAAGGATTTGCATGGATAGGCAGAAATCCCCTTTTGCTTTACTCATAATAGTCCATGAGTGACGGTCCACCACCGAGTTAAACTTATGGATACCTAGAGACACATAAGTATATACTACAAGGCATGCCACTAATGGTCTTGTGGAACACCCCATCTCTAGAGTGAGTGCTATAGCTGTACCAGTATATAGTGAAAGAACATCTGACCAGGCAACACTCGCTACAGAGTGGGATCCTATTAGTAATGGTAAAAGAGGGTCCCTTAAATAAAACAAATGAAATGTTGTGAAAAAGACATACCCAAGTCAAGGCGACCGGATGTTTTTAGAATCACTACAGGAGGGAGATGATATCTATTTAAGAAAGATACAGCCATATAGTGCACATAATGAGCAATAAAGGAACAGGGAGTAGTCCACATTCTGGCCTGAATGATTTCTTCAAGCAAATGGCAAGAACAATCAGCCAAACACATGGTGATATGACAAATTTGATGAAAAGATACGTTGAGGAGATGGCAAATTTCCATGGATAAGTCTGAATACGCCAGCCTTAGAAGTTGATGAACCCAACCAGTTAGTGTTACAGGGGATAGATCATAGGAAACAGAAGGGTTTCAGGGAATAAAAGATCAGGAATGTGAAATTCGAAAGAAAGCAGTACATGCCACATAACACCTCAGTGAACCTGACAAAGAAATCAATCAAGATTGGAATGGGAGTACAGGTGGGAGATGGAAGGTAAAGAAATGGGTGTGAAAGCCAAATGGATCAGGAGTGAGGATCAGAGTGGAGCGAAAAGTACAACAAACTGAAGCCAGCATTACATGGTCATGTCATTGCCTTAACTCAACTGTGAGAACAGGTTAATAACTGTAACCAGTATTAAGAGCAGAAATCATAACTCACCAAACTGTAAATGCAGGGAAGACATTGAATTATGTTGTCTTCTTGACAACATAAGAGGAGAAGATAGCGAGAAGAAGAATAAGAGGAGAAGATAGCGTAAATATCTGATCAAGGACATCTGTAAGCTAGGAAGAAAAGGCAACATGTAATATACCACATATATAAAATTAATCACTTGTAAAATAAAAAAGGTGTGGAAGGTGAAATATTCTGTAGAGGAAGAGGGTGTGACAGACCAAATATAAGAAGGTGCCAAAAAAGTGAATTCAATTTTCTTCTCCTTGATTGTATTCATTCTCAGAAATTTTTGGGATATATATAGATTGGTGCGCTGAGCATTAAATTTTTTTAGCAATACTTAGTGGGCAGGAAGATCATCGAGATAGCTTTGTGTGAGATAAAACCATATTGGAAATATACATTAGTGAATAGAAGAAACTTTCATTATTTCTTATTTTCCTTTGTAATTCTACATTGTTATAGGTCATTAAAAGAGCTAAATCAGGTTCAAGCTTCATATAACTGTGGGAAGAAACTCATTACATATAACTTGTTAAAAAGACCTTGATGTTCATTGTTTTCTCATATCACAAAGGTAAACAGTATTGAAACTATCATGGTTATTGAAATTGCTAAACAAACTAAAGCTACAGCATCTGAATTAGATCATTTAATTAGACTTAGCAACACAAATAAAACATCAGCTGTATTCAACAATACCAGAAATAGTATAAATTCTAAAAAAAAGGTTTTTGGTGTCAGTATATGTTTTTAATAACAAAATATGTTCTATTTTCTTCTTTAAACTTAAAAGAATAGAGTAAGTTGTTAAATGATTTTGCATGTAGGTAACATTATATATACACACACACACATATATATATATATATAAAGTATTTACCATTTGCAGCTAGATGCTGCAGTAGAGGTTTCCTACTTCTGATAGCATGACATTTCCTAGAAGTTACACCAGGAAGATCCACTTCTGTAAAACTTTGAACATGGATCCCCTCATCTTCTAATCTCCAGTAGAGTGTGTCAAACCCTGCACCCAGGTTAACAATCTGACAATCTGCAAACAACTAGCCATAACAAATAAAAATGACATGTTTCCATACTTGAAATCAAACTTAGAGTTATATACTGATAAAATATTAATTTTCAATCTGGAATAAAAGTGCTCCTTTTTAATAAGAAAATTTTTTTTTTTGCTTAATTACAAATAGTAACTCATAAAACTGTAACAAGAAATACTCTGATTAACAAAGTTTTTAATTCAAAAATAGTTAACAAAGTTACTAATGTACAAGACAATAATTTGTTTAAGCCATATGTAAGTTACCATTTTCAGTTTTAGTTGCCTTATTATGAAGTTCCATTAACTTTGATTGTGTGACAAATTATAACTTTTATTCAATCATCCTACTGTGCTAAGAAACATTTGAAAAATTACAGCTGAAATTATTAAATGGATTTGATTCTAACAAATTTGTTTCTAAAGTTTATTTAACTAAAGCTATTTCACAAAACTAAGGGTTGCAATCCTAATCCCGAGATTTATTGAAGAAAATTCCAGGACTATAGTAACCCTTTGTAGACTGGATGGGTGTCACACACACACACACACACACATATCCTCAGATTTTTTCTTTTCACAGTGGTGACACAAAATCAAAATTGAATGAAATTTCTGACAAACTTACTAAATAGTATTTAATTTGGGCTTAAAAATAGTGTATAATTCAATTTAGTATTTTATTATTTTTAGATTAAATTTTTGTTCTGAGAAAGTTTTGAAAGACATTAAAATACATATTTTCATTTTAGAATTTTTTTTGTTGATGATGAGAAATTTTCATTTTATGTATCCAGCCAGTTTCAACTCCACTGATTCTTATTAATGTATTTCTTTTGTTATTTTATTTAGCTAATTACAATAGCTTCCAACTATAAATTGTTAAAAATATAGGAAAAAACCGAAAAGATTTATCATTTATGTTAGACAAGAAATGCAGATAGTTTAATTAATTTTGATTAAGACAAAATAGAATGTAAATAAACAAGTATTATGAAAAAATTTATTGCTAAATAAAAAAGCTATGTAGGGCTGAATACTGAACTTGAAAAAGGAAACAAACAAGATAGGGATGGAAGTGAACATATCACTTGATACGGCTAATGATCACATAGCACACCAAGCCATCTCGAGTTTATATGGAAAATAAACTTCCCAAAGACACCGATTGTATAGTGTACAAAGCACTGAGTATTCTACATGTTACAGTCATCCAATGTTCATCTATTATTGGCTGGTAATTCCTGTTTCACCCTGTATTTAAGCTTTTTAAAGGAACACCAGAATACTGTAAGAATGTTAACTTCAAGGGGTGTAAAATCATTTACAATAGAGCTATGATTTTTTTCACCAAATTTTGCATAGAATAATAATAACCAAATAGGTAGTCAAAGATTGTAGACTGTTTTGCTCTATCAAATGATGATAAAATTATAGTTACTGCTAGAACTAGGTAGGTATTAGGCCTGTTGAGGTAAGTTGATGATGAACAAAAATCTGAAATCTTGGTTTTGGCTATTTGCCGGTTTTCAACTTGGGGACACTCTGGACAGTTGAAAAGTAGCACATACACCAGAGATAGAGCAATTATGCCAGGTAGCTCTTCATATCTAGCTTCTGATGACCTGTAGAGAAGAAAATCCAGATGACTTTTGTATTGCTTTAATACAAACATCTGTGCCATCCCTACATAGCCAGTGCTAGTGCACTCTTCAGTAAAAGATTTAAAACCCCAGCTGAGATAATAGAATTAGAGCCACTAAAATCCAGAAATCCCAGAATTCAGAAAAACCTTCAGGATTACAATCCTACAACAATAATCCTATATAAGGTTAGGATAAACTCTTTTCTTTAAATAAAACATTTTTATAAAGAAAATAAAATATTTTTTTCATTAAACCTATACACACAGGGCTTTAGAGCATTATTGACAATCTCACTTATATCATTCTCTCTCTCTTGTTTTTTGCACATCAATGATACCTTCACAAAAAAAGATATTTTTAAGATTTCCATAGCCCAAGTGTACAACTTTACATCCCTTAAGAACAAAACTAATTTTCCATTTTTAGTTCAGTATTATGGCAGTAAAGTTGTAAAGAACATTTTAAGTAACAAAACAATTTTCAACAGATTTAGCTCTTTCCAGCATATTATCATCAGTAAACTTGACATAAATAAAAAAAACAACAACAAAGATTTCAAAATAGACTTATGACAGACCACAATGAACACACCCTCTCAAGTAGAAAATTTTCAATTTTTTTTACATGATCATCCAACTCACTAATACTTTTATTTGGAACACACTATCAATGGCTTTCTGTAGTCAATATTAGCTGAGTTGCTCTTGTCCAAAAAACCAATGAAGATATCAAAAATTATAAGAAATTGATAAATAGAGCTTAGCGATATGGTATTTGCTAACCAATTAATTGATGGCCCCATTAATTGATTACATTTGCTTAATCCATTAGTATAACATTACTCGTACCAGGTACATACAAGCAAATATAGAAAAAAGACCTCAATGTCTTTCCCAAGGTAAAATGACCAAGACTGAACACAGTACTCCAAATGTGGCCTAATCAGTGACATGTACAATGAAATTATAATTTCTTTAGACTTGTATTCAATATATCTAAACATACAGCTTGAAATCCTGTTTGTTTTACCACTAGCAACAGCACACTGCTTGGATGACTTAAGAGACTGATAACCAGACCACCAAGATAATTTTCTTCCATAACACAGTTAAGGTTATTCCCATCAAAATCCTACTTATAATTAAGATTATGATAATCCACATAATCCTTGTATTTATTATAATTAAAAGCCATCTGCCATTTATTGATCCACCTCACCAAATAATTTAAATCTATGTGTACAGTATCAACATCCTCATCACAGCCAGCAACACCTAAAACTTTAATGTCATCAGCAAATTTAAATAATGTATTGGTTATTACTTCATCTATATCACTGATGTAAATCAAAGAGAGGAAAGGTTTTAACATTGAGCCCTGAGGTATCCTACTTGTGAAATTAATCCAGTGACTGAATTCCATTTATTACAACTCTCTACTTTCTTCCATCCAATCACTTTTCTAAAACAACTAAAAAATTGTCAAATAAATGCCAACTTTCCAAAATGATTTTCTAAATAGTTTCTGACAATGGATCCCAACATCTTACTAAGAATTCATTGGTATTCCCTACACCAATTTTTCAATTAGGGCCATGTTGCAGTTATCTGATCACTTGAAATTTCCTCAGTGTCAAGAGACTTTGAAACTGAAAACTAACAATTAAATGACCACTAATTCTTTGTCAAGTTTCTTCAAAGTTTTTATATAAGTCTTGTTATGACTATCTCAAGAACTTTCTGAAACCCTCGGAACTAGAGATAAAATAACTTAGTGAAAGAAAGCATTGATATTTAACTTGATTGTGAGAATGTGACTAGTGCAATCCATTAACACTTTATTTGAGACTGTTGTTGTTCACTCTTTATGTCAACAAATTGGACTTATATGTGGAAAGATATATACCACTGGGACTAAAAATTATATCATGAATTGAATAAAAATACACACCACCTAAAATAAGTGTTACAAACTGCCCTGTAATAGAATACATCTTAGTCTTACCAATATTCAGAATAGTAATGAAAAAATTAACAAAGGTACTTAGATAACAAGAATAGAAATCACATTCAAACCATGTAGTTCCTTATAATTACACCTTATCTATCCTAAGATATATAAAGATTATCAACTGATAGAGTTATTGCCATTTATAAAGTTGGAATGTCAACTATAAGACAGATTTGTTAAACACCCTTATTTCTGAACAAAAGAGCTATCCAACAAGGAAAATTTCTAGACACCACTCCTTCTTTGACAAGTCACACCATAAATTGAATTGTTCATTTTTTAATACTGCATTTAATTCTAACAGAGACAGTTCTTATAAAAGCTAGCATATTGCTCAAAACTATAAACATTTCTGGAACCATAATATTGTTCTTATAATTTTTGATATTCCATCTTTTGATTTTTTTCTGTACATGTATATATATATATATACTGACAAATACACTGTTTTCAGGCAGTGAAGAATGATAGGAATAGTATTTGAAATGTTAGGTAATTCTGATGCATTTAGGTGGCATATATGTTTAATTATACATACAGACCTTGCCAGATTCTTGGATGATATTTTCAAATTTCATTATTAAGATGCTAGTATTAAGAATGCTTCTGTCATTTCAAGAGAGCTCAATAATTATTTAATATTGCAGTTAAAACTATGTACCTTGAGGCATGGAAATTTTGAAAGAGGTAACATCCTTGTAAGAACCTCACTGGTGTTGTGGTTAAATAAAACAAAAGAGGAAAGAAAGAAGGATATAAGTGGGAAAAATGATCAAACATTTAAATTCTGCTGTTTGTGTTTTCAGTTCAATTAATAAAAAATCTAGTTATAGAAAAAGAGTATTGTGGTAATTTTGTTTTATTTTTCTTACTACTTGAATAATATCAAGTTCATGCAAAGAGTGCTAAAATTATACCCGGTTAAGTCATTAAGTTACATTTATTTCTTCTGAAGTGCAGAAGAATGAGGAGGACATTTAATTCACATATTTGAAATACTCTATTGGCCTGATTATAGAGCAATGTTTTTGATTAATAATTAGGCTATAAAATGCATAGCTGCCTTATAATCGTGGCCAACCACAGGCCCCTTCCCCCTACTCTAGCCTGTTACACTCCTGAATGTCCAGATAACACCTGTCTATGCATGAGAGCCACATATTCGCTTAAGGTCATTGCTAATTCATGCAACTAATTCACCTGCACACTGTTCAATTATAGTATTGATTTTGTGGACCTAAAAAGAGGATGTTATGATCCTCAATTTGTTTCTTTCCCATGGTTTCTGAAAATGGGGGTCACCTTATAATCGAGATTACCCTATAATCAGGCCAATACAGTAGTTAGGATTGAACAGTCTTCCTATGGCCTGAAAATGTTCTAACTAGCAACCTGAGCATTACAGGTATTATGCTTAAGCTTTGGAAACCTAGATGCACACTTGCTTTTCAACATAATTAACTTTATGGCTACTGTTAAAAAACTCATGAAACAGTTTGCCTAATGATGTACATATGTAATTAGTTTGTTACATTTAAATTTTGTTTGAATGTATGATGTTTCAATGTGTACAGTTTGTTACTTTCCCTACAGGTAAAGAACATGTATTTTATACAAGTGTCCAGACAGCCATGAAGTAATTCTAAACTTGCAAGTAGTCTTCACCTTCAAATACCAATTGATGATTCAGTAGGATAAAAATGTGTGTGTGAGTATTCCAGTTACACACTCCAAAAACACCAGTAATTTATCATCAATGTCCATTAAGAGTGACTAAGTGAAAGATGAAGCCCCACCACTATAATCACAAACATGAAAATGTGATCAGCACATAAGTACAACACCTGCTATAGATCTTATGTTCTCCCAAAGTCCCTAATGAAAAACTTTATAGTTACGTATCACAAGATATGAGCCCAAGTTAGCCAATCCCTCAGCAATGTAACACATAAATACATATTTACCTCTAATAGGTGAATATCCTTCTACTTGAAAAAAATAGCATTATGCATCACAGTAGGTATGTACATGTAAATATGAAAGACTATTTTTCAAGTTGAATTTTTTTTTTTTTGGTGATGGTTGAAATGCCCTTCTGTTACCTTGCCTTTTCTAACGTCTTTTTTATTTGAATTTGGATAAATATATTTATTCCACAACCTATCACTGCAGAGTTACCATAGCATAAAAGCTACATTTAAACCTGTTTTACTAATCTTATTAGTGCACAATCTCCTTGACACAAATTGCAGGTAAGCATTCTTCTTAATTCCCGTTATCTTTTTAGCAAAAGTATTAAAAACAAGTCTTATTCAATGTTAAAAACTGTGATCTATAAGTTGTATTCTGGAAAAATTGCACAACAACTTCAGCTAGTGAAGACCTAGAGAAAAGAAACAGTAGTGACTATATATTTCACACAACTGACCAAAATTCAACAACATATAAATTGTTTAATATTACTCAGTCACACTTCAAGAAAAAGTGCATATTTTAATATTAGTAATAAAAGTAAACATAAAGTTTAAGTAAGCAATGTAGGGCCCTGCATTTTTATATTGTAATTTGTACTTTTCTATTACCACATAGTAATAATATTATAATCTTGATCTTGCAGATCATAGATGTAAATTGTAATACTATAAAAAAAACAGTAAAGAAATAGTTAAAATACCAAAAATACAAAAATTATAAAGTGATCACTACTTCTGCCAAAAATAAACCTTCATCAAACTTATGTACGGTAACGTATACTAAACCTTCAAAGCTTGGTCTAAAATTGTTTTCATGCCAGCAACTCGTGCAAAGTAACCTCGACTTATTTCTGGTGCCTTCCTCTCTGGAGAGCGCACAAAATATGGAAGATATTTGTCTTTCCAATATCCCATTTGTACAGCAAACCGTTTACATATTGACGCGTCGTCATTGGTTCCCATAACGGCATCGTCTTGAAGCATTGTGAATTTCTTAAATTTCAAATTTCATTAACACTATATACAGACCGAGCACAGTGCAGGTTTACCGCTTAGCTTTGGCTTTACTGGACTCCTGGTTTTTCTTTAATAAGCCTTTAAAATCTGTGTTTGTTGATACATTTTTTGCAATAATTGGCTTAAATTTTCTATGATTCTTTTTGGAAATCAATAGTATTCTTATAACAGTGCCTTAATATTTAAACGTAGTACACTAAGCAATAAGTTGTATTTCATACACAATACTTGTCTTCTACTTTATATTTTAAAACTCTTGAGTCTTCACTGTTATGAAATAACAACAAAATACACGCCCTCTAGCCATTCACATGAAAACAGAAATGGTTTGTTGCTAAAAGATTTAAATGATCGAAAACAGGTTACTATATTGCCGTGCATTTGTATTCATACTTTGTAATCATATTTACAAATGAATTCGACCTCAATGGTTCAGCGATATGTCTGCGTGCTTAAAATGTTAAATATCGGGTTTCGATATTTATTGTTGGAAGAGTACTGATAGCTTGTGTAACTTTACGCTTAACAACACACCAACTAACCAACAAATTGTTACGCCTCCGTTCGTTAGTTAATTTTCCGTAAAAATTCTTTCCGAAGGAACTTTAGCGATACAAGTCCTTTCTTAAATAAAACTGGTTTATTCTTTCTGGATACAACTTTGCAATACACTTAATTTCCACAGTCGCGCTATATCAAACGCTATAATTCACAACGAACGTTTCACGTGCTCGACTCAACAATACGTCTCTCTCTGTCCGCAGTTCAATTAAATTGTTGCCGTCAGTTCTTACCGGTCTTATATATATAAGAATACCGCATATCTAGTAACCTCCCGAGACTTCAGGAAGGGACAGGGTCCTTCTAGAAGTTCATGACGTGTTACTAGGGTCACGTGACTTCTGCTGTCGTAACACTGCCCTTCCTTAGTATCGTTCGTCTAGAC